CCCCCCCCCCCCCCCCTTACAATGTGAAAGATAGAAATTTAGCTAAATTTGAAACAAGAAAAAGGTATTCAAATTGCAAACCAAACATAGAACCATATTTTGTTATCAGTGTACAAAATGAACCCTACAATACAACTAATGAAAACATTTGCAGAATCAAACACCATGGACCTACAAAATCAAATATGATCCCTACTCAAAAAGATGAGTGTTATAGTGAGTTGATTTAAAACTTAAATATAACAAAATAGTGCAATACAAAAACAAGAACACTAAAGGTCAATGTGCAGCTTCAAATTGAAAGTAACATGTCTCAATGAGGTAAAACAACATGCAGCAGTCAAATGTGCCAACGGGGTCAGAGAAAACAAAACGTATCAAGAGAAGTATATCAAACAAAGATGTGCTAATTTACCAAGGGTCTTTCCTAATTCCAAAAATTGCTCGTTCAAGCGGTCCCTCCTTAATTTTTCTCGATCTGCCTTCTGCACTTTTCTTGCAGCAATAGAGTCTTTGAGTTCTGCTTCAGGTTTTTGTTTGCTGCTGTACATGAAATTAGTTCAATTAGTTCAGGAGAGTTTCAATGAAGTCATATTGAAACAACATTTATATTTCTTTGTAATAGTGCCAAGGAAAAGGACATGTAAGAAAAAAAAACTCCATTGCACGTGCAGCTAACCTAGATACTTGTCAGAATTCGGTTAGTATTTTTCCTTACATGTAGCTAACTGGATGTTTGCCTGATTGCAGCAGGGCCGGAGCTACAAGCCTGTCTACGGGTTTGGTAGAATGCAGTAGCTTTGGCCCAGAATCTACTTAACATGTATAAATAATTTATTCAGAAGGCAGTAAACTGTTTCTTCTAGAATCCAGAACCCCATAAACTTAAAATCCTAGTTCTGCCTCTGGATTGCAGCATCATTTTGTGGATATTTATTCTGTCATGCTTGTAAAACAGTTAAGTTTGGCAATGACACAATGTAGCAGCACTTGCTGTGCCTGAGAATTGCCCCACATAGTTGGAAGAGAATCAGATTCTGAGCTGCCCACTTTCACATTGCATCTCAGAATGATAATAGACGAAAAATTCACAAAAGTAAACAGCAAATGTGGAGGACTGAAGTGAATGAGTCACAACTCTGTTTACAAGTCTTCTTGCTTTTTCTATGTTCTCAGATCACCCCAAAAGAAACTCCAGAGCAAGTATCTTCTTAACTCAAATTCCTACCATATCTTGAAATGGAGAATCCCACTACACACTGACCAAAGACAAGAACACCCTTATAATACCACACAACCATATAGAGTTCACCATTTTAGCGACATACCAATTGCTGCAGCTTTCTCTACCAGCAAATGTGGAAAAAACACTTTAAATGAGATACAGATCTTTGCAATAAATTAGAATTTCGATTAATTAAACTTGGTTCTGTATTCAACTTCCTCCATTGATTTTACTATTACTTTTTCTTTTATGACTGGTGTTTGCGCCAGCTTTCTCACCCCTTGACAAATTTCACGGGATACCTACCACCTCCTACTATCAACAGGTACTAGCTAACTCTGTCCATTAAAGCTGTGACAAATGGGAAAAATCACCTAGTGTTTTTATCTCTTGGATTTCACTATTACTTTGAAAAATGGAACTTCTAAAAAATACTAATTGAAGTAGCATAACTAAAACCCAATAGCATAAAATATGTGCACAAACTCAGATACATCAATTAAACATGCTAGATTCAGAAATCAGAGCCTAAGCTAGAAATACATAAAATTTTACCTTGATTCAGAATGCAAGCCATTGGGAGGCATGGAAACATCAGAAGGAAGCTGATTTAACTCTGTTAAACAATGATTTGGAAGCTGATTCGGTTGATAGAGGCCGCCGTGGTTTAATTGATCCATTTTCTGCAGTATATGGCCGCGAATTGAATCGGGAAACTAGGGTTTTGAAGTCGAAGAACAACAATTTATGCACTGTTTTGTTTTTCTCTTTTTGCGCAGTGCTTTCCGATGCGAGATTCCACCTTCACGTTATCCATTATCTTTTTTTTAGTAAATTTTTATTTTCCCTTTCGTTATCAACTTCTTTCTTGAAAATATAACACTCAACTTTCTTTCAATAGGATAGTTGCACGTATAACCAGTGGAGTATATTTGCATTTTCTTTGTTTTTTAACCTTTCGTCAATTTGAATGTAATGTCCAAATTGGATTTAGATCTTATTTGTTTCATTATGAAATCGGAAAAGGCTCAAAAATACCCCTGAACTATCGGAAATAGCTCATATATACCCTTGAACTATATTTTGGCTCAAAAATACCCTTCCGTTAAAATATTGGGTCACTTTTGCCCTTACTATTAACAGAGGTGTGTTAAGTGTCATGTGGACGCCACGTGGACGCCACATGGACGCCACGTCGATGCCACATAAGCACCAAAAGCCCTGTTAGCCTCATTTTTTATTTATGAACTTTTGCTTATAGTAGTACCCTGAAGCTGTTAATAATACTCCCTCAATTGAAATGGACGAAGAGACCAGTAAATTGAGGCTCAGATCTGTGTTACGCTCGAGCAAAAAGAGGGTCAAACCACGCCATGGCTGCATAAAACAGTATGCCCCGCCAAGATACAGATCGGATAACCTCAAATGCTCAATTAATCAGCTCAAAAGGGAATAAAAAGTGACAAAAATCATCATCGCCTCTATAAAGACACCAATTATACTCACCCCCACCAGCAACACTGAATGCTCAGGCAGAAGTATAAAGAAAAAATAAAGAGAAAAAGAGTTGAAAGGTCATAGAAACCCATTTCAAACAAAGCTGATAATTATATATTCCCTCTGTTCAAAATTGATAAAAGGGTTGTTGGAATTCTTACATTAATGGAGAAATCATCGGCTGATATAGAGAGTGGCAACCACCCTTCCAATGAGAAATCCTTAAACTCTCTTTAAGCCTCATTCTTTCCCTTTTGAGCTTTTTAAAAACCTGTAAGAGTTACATTCTATGTATTTTCTGAAGTGCTGTTAAATTTTATTTCCATAATACTTGTGATCTTGTGAGTCATTTTCCTTTTATGATCTATTTTCAGAAAACGATAACATACCCAAATATTATAAACATACCCAAATACTTTTGTGAAATAGTTTCTTAAAACAGGGGTGAAATGAAGAAAGGGGTGAAATTTTCAGCAAATTTAAAGCATTGAGACCACAATGACATCTTCTTGCATACAATTTTTCAAGTGAATCGATAGAGGATTCAGACATTGTTTTTCGAAATTTTTGTCTACTTCGAAACCCTAGCAGTGAAATGAACAAAGGGGTGAAATCAACTTTGAAATGGAATGGAGTCCATGAGAGGAAATCTGAAACCCTAGGTGAAATTGTATATTAGAGAGAAGAGGGGAAATGTATTTTAGAGAAATGAGAGGTCAAATTGTATGTCCCAAAAGAAATGAGAACAAAATTAGTAATTAGGATGTATGAGTCTATGTGGAGGTGAGAATTGTTTGGTGCTTATGTGGCGTCGACGTGGCGTCCATGTGGCGTCCACGTGGCGTCCACATGACACTTAACACACCTCTGTTAATAGTAAGGGCAAAAGTGACCCAATATTTTAACGGAAGGGTATTTTTGAGCCAAAATATAGTTCAAGGGTATATGTGAGCTATTTCCAATAGTTCAGGGGTATTTTTGAGCCTTTTCCGTTGAAAAAATAAAGAAAGGAGTATGTAAAATTACAAATCCATTAATTAGTTGACTGGTGGACTTAGGACTAAATTAGTGTTACCTTCTTATAATGGCGTTGACTCTATCTTGAAAGAACCTTCTCTTTGTGGTCATCCAAATCCCCACCTCTAAATAACCAATAATTGCATTTCAAAGAATTTATTAACTCTCTTTTGTCTTATTGTGGTGTTTCACATTACCTCATTGTTTTCAAGTCCAAAAGCCATCAAAGGTTTAATTGACAAATTCATATTCATAGTAATTCATTCTTCCTTTGAAAAAATATAGTACTCCTTCAACTCGTTCTTAAAAAAATAAATATAATTTTTAATATTTAACTCGTCATTTTACTCTTCGGAATCATTTGGCATGAGGTATAGGTATAAGAATCATTTGGTTGGAGGTATTAGGCAGTCTTATGATTATTTATCCCATCACTTATACCTTAGTGATGAGATAAGTTATTCCAAAATAATTAATCTAGGATAACTTGTTTCCAACCAAACGACCCTTTAGTGACATGTTTTTATCATCACATGACTGTTGTTATAATATTCTTAAAACTCCAAGGTTCAAATTTTTTTCATAGCCACAAAAATGTTATTTCATATTTAATAATCAATACCACAAGCTAAGTTTAAGGATAAATTCCTTTCTTTGCTAAACAATATGTTCAATCAAATTATATAGCATACTCTCGCCGCCCCATTTCATGTGAGATGAGTTGGAGTATGAAAGTTCAACTTATCTAATTTTTGGTATAAAATCAGGCATAAAATTTTCAATTTTCTTTTTGAAATAACATTATAAGATAAGAAAAAATTAGAAAATATATGAGATAATTTCAGTCCAAAAATTTATTTAACTCTTCAAATAATAACTAGAGGTGAAGAAATAAATTAAAATCGAGGGCGTAGAAGGTCAAATTGTATGTCCCAAAAGAAATGAGAACAAAATTAGTAATTAGGATGTATGAGTCTATGTGGAGGTGAGAATTGTTTGGTGCTTATGTGGCGTCGACGTGGCGTCCATGTGGCGTCCACATGGCACTTAACACACCTCTGTTAATAGTAAGGGCAAAAGTGACCCAATATTTTAACGGAAGGGTATTTTTGAGCCAAAATATAGTTCAAGGGTATATGTGAGCTATTTCCAATAGTTCAGGGGTATTTTTGAGCCTTTTCCGTTATGAAATACAACATATAATCTCAATGGACATCTCAATATATATTATTTATTTATAAATGCATTAAAATATATTTTAATTAAAAATAAAATTACTATTCTCTAAATATTTATATTCAGTTTACTTAGGACACAACTATTAGAAAGGTATAATGATCGCGAATTAGGGTATAAAATTAGTAGCTAATTAAACTTTGTCTCATTTTCGATAGGATTAAACTTGGTGTGAACCTGAGAGCATCATCTTTGTCATAATATTAGGTTTACACATGTAGTTTTTTACTTTTGATAATTATTATCGTATATTGTCTATTGTGTTTCAATTGCTACATTTTTCCCTGTGAATTATATTCTGCTCTCTTTATTAATAGACATGTTTTTTTTCATTGTCATATTCCTTTTTCCAAGTATATATATGTATGTATATATTATTTTAATTTTATTTTTGATTTGTTATATTTGAATCGAGAGTCTTTCAGTAACAACCTTTTTACATACCTGAGGTAAGATAAGATCTACATACATTCTAAAGAACAAATATTTTGTGGTTAAATGGAAAACATTCGAGTATAAATGATGTAAATTAATCAATTTGTTTATTTTTATTTGTCACTTATTTTTAAAATAGATTTTCGTTTTTACTTGTCACTTTTGATATATAAAAAAACAATAATTCTAAGTTATGAGGAATATAAATAAACAATAAAATCAACCAATTTTGTTCATTTTTTACTTGTCACTTATTCCTAAAATAAATTTTCATTTTTACTTGTTACTTTTGACATATGAAAAGACAATAATTATTTCTATGTGTTACCCTTAGGCCTTAACATTAAATACATATTTTTAAAATTATTTAATAGGAATTAATTTTTTTTTTAATGAATGTAATAAGTTAAATTGAGACAAATAAAAGTGAATGTAGAACAAGAGGGATTTGCGTAACATATAAAACTATGGGGAAGATAACGCGCTATTAAGAGAAAATCTCCAGGTAGGTCTTTCTAATCAACCAATACTTACGTTTTTCTGTACTTGGTTTTGTTGCAGTGGGTTTAAGATTGTGAGCCGACTTACACCCCCAATTTCCCTCGCTCACCACCTTAATCATCTTCCTGTAGAACAATCCATTGTTCAAATTCAAATCTTTGTGCCCTAGAATAAGAAATTCAAGGAATAATGTCGGGCATGGGAGATGGTTATGTGGGCACGGCCCAGGACGCCGTCAGAATCCGACGGCTTGAAAAACAGCGAGAAGCAGAGAGGCGAAAAATTCAGGAGCTCAAGAACAAGACTGCTTCATCTAAAGGTCAACCTGGGCTTCTTCAATTTGGGTCCAGTACATCTGAGGTTTGCATTACACTTGCATACAAAGCTCGTTCTTTTATTTAATTTTCCTTTTAACTGATATGCTGGCGTAACTAGTTTGGGATAAAGGTGTAGTTGATCAATTGTTATGTATTGAAATTAACTTGCCTAGTGGCTAATGAAGTGGAATGAAAACCATGAGGTCTCAAGTTCAAATCCCAGCAGAGACAAAAACACTAGGTGATTTCTTCATAGCCTTGCTGGACGTAGTCCTTTGGTACCCATGGGAGGTGGTAGGTATCCCGAGTTATTAGTAAAGGTGCACAAAAACTGGTCCGGACCCATGGTTATCAAAACATAAATAAATAACTTACCAGATTTCTGGGACTTTGTCACACCTTAACTTATTTCAGCCTTTGCGCATCCGAAGTTTCGATTACATTTGCATCCAAAGATCATTCTTTTTATTTATTTTATTTTTAACTGATAGGCAAAAGTATCTAGTTTTGCATATAATGCGTCCAAATAGAGTGGAGAGTTACTAATTTGGTATGAAATTGAGCCAATAGAGCAGAATAGATATAAATGTTCATATAGTCTGACCTCAACTAGCTTGTGGATTAAGGCCTAGTTGATTAATTGTTATCTATTGAAATGTAACTCACAAGAATTGACTTTTATAACGCCTGGGCTTATTCAACCTTTTGCTCATAGAGAATTAGACATGCTCCTTCTCTAATCTCTTGTTGCAAGGAAGAGTGGTAATTATGTTTTTTTCTTAACTTGTTGACTCACTGAATAGACAAGTTGATGTATTTTTTAGATATTGTTGCTTAGGTTAGTTCTTATTGTCGAAATATGTTGTTTCAGATTCTTGAGACTGCCTTTAAAAAGGAAAC